GATGTTTTCCAAAAGATATTCTGTCTTCTTTGTGAATGACTAAAAATATTTTATAGTTATTGCATCAATTTCTGATGTTTAAAAACATTTCTCTCAAGAGAGTACATTTTTGTCTTATAGTTATGTCTAAATGGTTCCCTTTCAACATATATCATTTAACTAGCAAGTTTTTAAATACACAATAAGGGAAGGACAGATGTCACAATATCATTGTCATTTTTTGGTAATATCTCTAAAGCATTGTCATTTGTGCATTTCTTATTGTAGAGCAAGTTATACACTGCCTGCTGGTTTGAAAATAACCCATTTTTCATCATCCTTTAAGCAGATCTTTGTTTACTTTGGTTCATGAAGTTGAGAATTAGCCCAATTGGATATAGATGCATGACTCAAATATACTGTCCTTCTTTTATATTTAAGGTCCAAACAATAATGCAAAATTTATATTCTTATTTTCTAATTTATATTTTACTTTATGAGAGGAAATATATCTACAAAGGCATATATGCTATTTGGACATTTACGGAAAACTAAAGAACCTTTCATTTTTAAGTGCCTGCTATAACAAGGACTGTTTTCCACACAATGGAGGAGTTAACGCTAATCTTTATATCCATTTAAGGGGATAATAACATTACCACTAATGTGTCTATTACCCATGTGAATAAACCAAGGCTCCGTGAGCTTACCAAGTCTCTCCAACAGTTGCATAGCTGGTCAGTCACACATCCATGCTTTTAGTTGAGGTCTGTCTAAATCTAGAACACAAGGTCTAAGTCTCATGTAATTCTGGAGAAGACCACAACTTTTGAGTTAGTATTTTGGTGAGTTAACACTTCTCAGTAAACATGTTACAGTTTAAACTAGGGCTTTGAATCAGAAGAGCAGTAATAAAATTTAGAAGTCTGACAAATACAAGGAACAGAATGCCACTATTTTAATTTGTGATCAAAAAAAGAGTGCTGTTGGTATATTTTCCATTTAACTGAACTTTTTTTTTTTTTCTGAGATGGAGTCTTGCTGTGTTACCAGGCTGGAGTGCAGTGGCGCTATCTTGGCTCACTGCAATCCACACTTCCCGGGTTCAAGTGATTCTCCTGCCTTAGCCTCCCGAGTAGCTGGGACTGCAGTCATGCACCACCATGCCTGGCTAATTTTTGTATTTTTAGTAGAGATGGGATTTCACCGTGTTGGCCAGGATGGTCTTGATCTCTTGACTTCATGATCTGCCTGCCTTTGCCTCTCAAAGTGCTGGGATTACAGCTGTGAGCCACCTCAGCCAGCCTTAACTGACCTTTATCATGGTCTTTAGATAATCCATGAATTAGCTGAATTCCAAGTAATCCAGAATTACTTGAAACATTATTCACAAGCATGTGCGCGGGGTTTCAGGTGTAAAGAATGTCTGGCACCACGTGTTCTGGTAAGAGGCCCCTGTTTGTGTGCATACTCAGAGGCCCCAGGTTTCCAGATGCCCAAGCATCTTAGTGGTGAGTTGTAGAAAGAATGCAAATAGTATTTCCTTTCATCATCTTGTAAAATGTTCCACTGAATATGGTAGCAAGTGTCTTCCTTCATTTGAAATGTTAGTTTTCATCAATTGTTGGTTATGTTCACTTAACTAAGCCAAGCAAAATCAAACAAAACTTTTAAAAATTGATTGGCTGCATCTTTAGAAAATGTTTGTTATAGCCAAGCACGGTGGCTCACACCTGTAATTCCAGCACTTTGGGAGTCCAAGGTGGGTAGATCGTAAGGTGAGCAGTTCAAGACCAGCGTGGCCAAGAAGGTGAAACCTTGTCTCTACTAAAAGTACAAAAATTAGCTGGGTGCAGTAGTGGGCACATGTAATCCCAGCTACTTGGGAGGCTGAGGCAGGAGAATCACTCGAACCTGGGAGGCAGAGGTTCCAGTGAGCCAAGATCGCGCCATTGCACACTAGCCTGGGTAACAGAGCAAGACTCTGCCTTGAAAAAAAAAAAAAGAAAAAAAAGAAAATATTTGTTATGTAATACATGTTGGAAGTTTTTAATGTAATGCCCAAGTATGCAGATTTTCATTTGGGGATTAATGCACCAGCAAGATATGCCTTATAAAGGAATGCTGGGTGTCATTCTTGACTCCATTGACGTCCAGCTGCACAGTTGCACAGTGATATGCACTTCCTGATGGTTTCTATGCTTTACTGAATTTCAAATAAACATTGAGGGATGATAGTTCTAGACATTTCTACCAAGCTTTGTTTTTTCTTCTTCCTTCTTACATCTTCCCAGCAGATTAATTAAAACAATAACAGAAATAAAAATTAAGGCATTCCTGAGAATAAAAATGGGCCTTTTGTGTCCAGCACTGATTATAAATGCAGAGGAGGAAAAGGAGGCTTCTTCCTCTAGTAATGTCTGTCTGTTGCTCTTTTCTTTGCAGTTCCTCTCCTCATTATTAAGTAGAGGTTTATGCTTGTAGTACCATTTGCAGCATGTATTTTTGCCTGAGTTAAATTAGGCGTTTGCTTTCTTAGGCATTTCTGCGTGTGTGGATTTCTGAAGCCAAGAAGACAAATGTGTGAGTGGCAGCATCCTTTCTTAAGGTTGTCTGTTGTGATTTTTCTCTGGAGGTTCAGCAATGACTTTTGTTTTTCACATTGCACACTTCTTCAGTTGTCTGCTATATGCAGGACACTCTGGTTTGATATCATAATGTCTAGGACAAGATCCCTGCTCTTAGGCTCTTTAAAATCTTCTTGGAAGGATGAAACACATACTTTTATACAATATGGGGAATAGCTCAAGTGTATCAGATGACTTTTATTTATGTTAAAGGGTGGAATCTAATAGGGAAAGTCATGAGCCTTGCTAGTTATGGAGTGTTTTGGAGATTACTTAGACTGGAGCTTGGAATTGCTATTTTGTTAGAAAAAGCAGTTTGTCCACATTTAGAACTACACTTTCCAGTTTCCGTTTTGTTCCAGGTGACCATAGGAAACTGATCTGGTCAGTGAGATTAAGTAGAAGTCTCCTAAAAATGGATGATTCATCGGCATTGTATTGCACATTTCTCCTTGTTGCTTTCCCCTTTTCTCTTTCATTTGGCTTGGAACGTGTAAGTGATGGATGGTACAGTAGCAGCAATTATTCCATGTGAGGAAAAGGCATATGAAGACCACCTAAAAATTGTAAGCTCTACACTTTTTTTTAGCCCTTGAATCAATGTTGCTCCATCTTAGCTTTGTTCAAGTCACTCTCTACTCAGATATTCTTTTACTTACTTCTGAAAACATTTTTTAACTGATTCAAATGTATTTAACACTTTTGACATATTTTCCTGTGGGTAATTGTCAGGAATGAATTCATATTTCACATAATCTTTATCACTATATTCTAACTAGATGCCCACATTACTCCCTAATATGAGCCAATCTTTTAAGCTAGGGAAAAGATTGAGTTAGAAACAATCAGTCAGGAATGAAAGACATTTTCTCCCTCATCTAGACCCTGTGTTTTTCATTTTACTTCCTAATAAACTCAAAGATACTGGAATTCAGTTCTTATTTCTCCTTAATTCCGCAAGAATACAGATGATACCCTCTATAAAAGCACTTTCCATCCCCCAGCTGTCCACTCTTGCAATTCTTCATCCGTCTACAAAACTTTTCCTCAACTTTATATTGTTTTGTTTTTTTAACAGCTAGAGACAAACACAAACTTAGCCAGGTAAGAACAGGGAAATATTTCAATTATTAGATGAAGGATTATAAAAGAAGATAAGCAGAAAAAGTGTCTAAATTGTAATTTGTCTTCTAGCTTCAGAGTCCCTGAAAGTTTTTAAGGACTTTTTCTAGGTCCTTAAAAATGTAAAAACTAATAGGCATTGTAATGAGTGAGTTCCGTGAACAGAGGGATCACCAGGGACACAGCTTGTGGCTGGGCTAGAGTGTGAACCAGGTACTTGATATCTGGCAGGCATATGGTCAGAGGGAGTACGTGATTCTATGGGTTTTGTTAATCTTACCTCACTGGGATCTACTCTCAGGAACTGGTCAACCTTTTCTTTCCTCCTGGAACTCCTGTTACTTGGATATTGGCCTTCCCGAATTGGTCTACATTTCTTAGCTTTTTTATCTTCTTTTCCTTTTTGATCTACTTTTGGGAAATTCTCACATTTATTTCCTGAATCTTCTGTTGGGTTTTCTTGTTATCCTGTTTTTATGTCTGAAGAAACATTTTGTTCAATTAGGAGGGTGTTGCAATAATTGCAGGCAATAGTTGGGAATGTCTGAGAATGGGTGGTAGCAGAGCGGGTGGTGCGGTGAAGTCATTTTCTGGATGTGTTTGGAATGTGAAGCCAACACGATTCATGATGTGTCAGATGTGGAAGGTGAGGGGAAGAGAGGAATTCAGGACAGTTCTTCTGAACAGCGAGCAGACGGAGTCTCCATCATGTAAGACAGAAGCGCATGGATAGTGTGTGCTGCCTGTTAGACACCCAAGTGGTGATGCTGAGAAGGCTGTTGGTTCTATAAATGAGGAGTTCAGGAAGGAGGTCGGAAGCTGGAGATGCAAGTGTGGGAGTATTTCAAGCCCACCATGGGACTGGCTGAGACCACCAAGGTGGTGAGTGTAGATACAGGGAAAAAGCGGTGGTGGTAGTGAGCCCTAGAACATTCCACAAATGAGAGGTTAGGTTAGCTGGCAGGGGAGCCTGAGGAATGGGTAACATTACGAGCAGGAAGAAGAGGAAGAGAGAGTGGCATACTGGAAGCTAGGATAAATTTTTAGCACGTGTATCAGAAGGAAGGAATTTATAACTATCACATGCTGCCAAGGGTTGAGAAACGTGCATTTGGATTTCACAAGATCTAAAACACTGGTGACTCAGTAATCAGGGCAAAGACTTGATGAGTGGGATTAGGAAGTGATGGGCAGAGAAGAATGTGGAGACAGCAAGTATTGACAACACTTTGTAGGAGTTGGAGGAGTTTTACTGCTTTATTGTTTTCCTGGTTTTTTTTTTTTTTTTTTTTTTTTTTTTTCCGTCTCCAACATCCCTTTGTGGAGGCTTCCCGTAGATGATTTGATCCTTGATCCTTGACTGTCTGTTCTTGCTTAAGTCTAAAAGGCGATGAGAAACCCTGAGTTCTCATGTTGGGCTCTTGGACTTTGAGTTCAATATAGCATTTTCGGTGTGTGTTTTCTGTTGGGCTTTCACCGATGTCTTTATCTTTTGGTCTTTTTCCTGGGATTGAGAGATTTCCTGGAGACTTCCCATTTCTGGCTTAGGTAGTAAAGGTCTGTCTGGCAGTGTTCTCGACTTTAAGCTGGGGGAAGAGGGCTGAGCGGAGGTATGGAGGATTTCGCATTCAACATACACTACTGCACGTGGTCCCTGTGTATTCAGCATAGCAACCTATCCTACAGCTGCGCTTTCTGTATCTTTGTCCAGAGACTTTGATTTAATTTCTTAAGAAGATCAACTTAATGAAGTTGGGAGGGGCTTCTTCAGAATGGGCATGTAACTGACCGACTGGCAGCATTCACCCAGTGCTCCTTGTTGCTGGTATTCCTTGCTTTACCCTCAGCTGGACAAGTACCTGCTGCCAGTTCCTTGGCCCTCAGGGTTGGTGCTCAGTTTTTTCCCTGAAAGGTGCGGCTTTATCATTCTAAGGTCTACAAAGCCAGGTACGGCTAGCTTCCATCTTTTGTTGCTGTCATCTCCTCTTCTTTCCTCTTGTTCTTATGGGTTTATTTTTTAAAATATATTTTTACTATAGCTTTAGTGAAACTTGAGAACAAAATCAAATGCATGTATTTACTGTGCCGTCTTAACCAGAGATGCGTCCCAGCAATATTTGATTAATACGTATCACAGTGCAAATCAAATGAAGCAACTTGAATGTTAGGTGATGCTATTAATATTTAGACCATCTAGTTAGTACCCTCTTGTCACTTTGAGGATTTTTTTTTTTTTTTTTTGAAACGGAGTCTCACTCTCCTGCCAGACTGGAGTACAGTGGAATGATCTTGGCTCAGGTTCCAGCGGTTTTCCTGCCTCTGCCTCCTGAGTATCTGGCTACTACAGGCACACACCACCACGCCCAGCTACTTTTTGTATTTTTAGTAGAGACGGGGTTTCACCATGTTGGCCAGGATGGTCTTGATTGCATGACCTCATGATCTGCCAAAGTGCTGGAGTTACAGATGTGAGCCACCACTCCTGGCCCCACTTTTAGGATCTTTTACACCTGACAATGCCGTTCTTTCTCCTGTTTGCACAAGCTCTACCTTGTGTTCTATCGTGGTGTAACTCTCGTTTAGTTACTTGTGGATGTGTCTTTCCACTTCACTATACTGTGAGCTCTTCTAGATGGGAGAGTGTGTGAGTGTGTATAACTCCAGATCCCCAAAATGTTTTGTAGGATATTTACAAAAAAAAATTGTCAAATAAATTTCAATTACCCCCAAATGTAAGTTTCTAGTTCACGGAAATATACAGTGAAACAAAAATTAACTGCTTACATGCCCTCTTCTTCCTGATTTTGAAGCCTAAATGACATGCTACCTGCAGTTGCTCAGAGAGGTCTCTTACAAAATGTTTCGTGGTGGCTAGAGGAAGATGAAAAACCTGACTCTTTTAAATGAGAGGATGCTTCTGATCTCTGTTACATAAGATGAGTGTCTACTCAAAGGTCTTTGCTTCTCAGCAACTTGCAGAGCTAATTTCACCATAGCTTTTCCTGTGGCTTCTACATTTTAAACGGGGTAAAGATGCTTTCTTTAAGCCCTTATACACTTTCTTACTCTGCCAGTGAAAAGAGGACATGAACCGTAAATACAGGCTGATTTGTACTCGTTTTGTGTATAAGCTTCTGCTGTCTCTACTCCCCTTTCCTCGTACCTTGACCCAAGTTAGTGTTAATGCCTTCCCTGTGGTGACTTGCTTAGTCTGCTATGTTACTGTCAGTACAACCGAAACTGTCATTTTTCTTTTTGCTGAGAATGTTTTCAACCCGGTTCATCTGAAACCTCTCAATCTAAGATACTGATTTGGAGAGATATTTAAAAAAAACACATTTTCCGTTATAGGAATGGGAAATGAGCCATAATAATAATCATAACAACCAACATTTTCTGAGTGTTTGTGCATGGCACTGCATTTTACATTTATTATTTAATCTCCTGCAAGAACACCATCGGGCGGGTACTCTTATTAGGTCCATTTTTGCAGATGAGGAAATCAAGATGCTCTGGGTTATAATAAGTTTCGTGGTCTGTTGATTTGAGAGTCCACCGTGCCCCACTGCCTTCTAGTACCATCAGATGGCAACGTGACATAATTATTACCTTTGTGTTCTGTGTTTTTGAGCTGTGATGTCAGCTAGAGTAATGTTAGTTATTTATGAAAAAATAATCAGAGTGATCTCAAAGAACGGTCAGTTTGTCCAGTAAAATTGAAGGTAGGGTTGATTTTCAGGAATTACTAACCTCAGCCTATTTTAGCCTTTCAACATCCAAGGAAGATGTTTTTCCAAGTCTTTTGTGTACTGAGTTCTTCTAGATACAGAAAGGATACAACAGTGAATGAAGTGTGACCATGTAATTGCGGAGGGAAGGGTCTGCCCATATTGTCTCACATGTCTCTGTGTATCTAAATATCATATCTCATAGGATGTCTATTTATAGAAATGATGAGGTTTAGCTTATTTGATAGGTTATGTCTATACCAGAACCCAGCCTTCCTGAGTAGTGCACTTTTTCTTCCCACTGAATCATGATGCTTCTCCATGTCTTTGTGAACCTAGAGCCTAATAGGAGAATACAAACATTCACATTAATAAAATTAACACAAGGTAGAGACCATAGAGCAGCACAAGTTGGAACTTGAAGTCCAGGGAACAGAGAGCCATGGGTTAGCAATGTGTTATGGTGGGCAGCCCCTCAGATGATCCCTGGAGATCCCCTCCTCCTGAAACTCATGGCTTTGTGATATTCCCTACCCTTTATACGTGGGCTAGACTCATGACTCACACAGAATAGAAGAAAGACTAGGCTACACTAGACTAGAATAGGGGTGATGGGATGCTACTTCCAAAATAAGGTTACAAAGAGAAGGAGTCTCTGTCTTGTATGCCCTTTCTGTCCCACTCTAAGGGAAGCCAACTACCTTGAGAGCTGCCCTATGGAGAAGCCCATCTGGCAAGAAACCGAGTCAGACTTTCAGCCAACCAGTAGTGAGATGCCGAGGCCCTCAGCCTGAGGAACTGAATCTTGCCAACAGCCTATGAGTAAGGCTGGAAACGGATCTTCCTATAGAGCCTTCAGATGAGACCATAGCCCCTGCCAACACCATGAGTGGAGTCTTATGGGAGACCTTGAGGCAGAGGCCCCTAGTTGAGCTGCACCTGGATTTGTGACCCACAGAAAATATGAGATAATCCACATGTGCTCTGTAAGCCCCTAAGCTCTGGTGTAACTCACCATGCAGAAATGAATAACATATTTGGTAATAAACACTGAGATTTTCTGGTTTGCGGCGTCTTTACCACCAGTTTAGCAGATCACAGGAAAGATTAAAGTCGGTGACTGCAGTGGCTGGGATAAGTGCTCATGGCTGTTGAAAAGAAGAGGCCATCAAGCTCAGCTCTGAGAGACTGCTCCAGTCCTGTCTCATCCAACAGAGCCTTGCTTTTAAAAAGTATCATCGTAAGGCAGGTACTAACACTGTTCCATAACTTAAAATGTTGCATTCAACAAGAGTAATCATATCAGATTGAATTATATACAAATAGTTTGAGCATGGTGGCTTATGCCTGTCATCTCAGCACTTTGGAAGCCTGAGGTAGGAGGATCACTTGAGGCCAGGAGTTCAAGACCAGACTGGGCAACGTAGCAAGACTTTGTCTTTACAAAAAAATTTAAAATAGAAATATTAGCTGAGCATAGTGGCATGTGCCTATTGTCCCAGCCACATGGGCAGCTGAGGTGAGAGGACTGCTTGAACCCAGGAGTCTGAGGCTGCAGCGAGCTGTGATCATACCACTGCACCTCAGCCTGGGTGTCAGAGTGAGACCCTGTCACTCTGTCTCCCTCTTTAAAAAAGGAGATTACACAAATAAAGTGAACTGATGAATCTGGCTACTCAAAATATGGGAAAGATTAACAAATTTGTCTAATAATTTTTTTGAAGTGCTTTGTTTTAAATGAGTTCCTTTTAAGGCACACTCTTAAAATATGGTTCTTTCCCTTCTGTGCAGTGCTTTGAAAGTATAAAGACAGGATTCATTTTATCATGTAAACATTCATACAGATATCTTACTTTGCTCTCTAGCCTGTGGGTAATTCAATATTTGTAGTAAGTTAGAATAAGAAGCATGTACCACATTTCCAGGGCTGACAAAGGCAGCCATGGAAGAGAACAAGTTAATAGCAAAGACCAAGTGTCCAAGGATAGACATCTGTCTGTGTACAGTCAAGTGTCGGACTGTTTCCTATGTTGAGTCTATAACGCTTGGTCGTTTCGAATTGCTTTTTCTTTAATTTTTTAATGTAATGCAGCCATCAATCAAAATCTTGAAATCAAAAGAAAAACAGATTTCTTTTTCTGTTTGGACATTTTGTTTTGAGACATTTAAAATATCTTAGGTGAAATTGACTATTTGACTTCCAAAATAGGCCATTTCATTTTTCATTTTGTAACAGCGTGGTTTAACAAAAACGGCATTGGATCTTAGTGAGTTCATACTGGTGGAGTTCATGATGAGAATAGCTGTTGTGATCTTTTAACTATTGAAAGCCCATGTTTCGTCCTGAACCTAGTTTTAATCTAGCACCTAGTTTTAATCTAATTTCTGAACCAATGTGTTTATAGGTAATATACACCTTAAAATTAATCACACCCATTATTCTAAGGCTTTTTGAGTTATCTTTCTACTATGTAATTACTTGTTTTCTCCGCATGATAAACATATGGTATAAACAAAAGTTACTATCCCACTTGATAAAGTCTCAGAGAAGCTTAGTGTCTTGATCAAAGACATACAGCCAATTTGTATGAAAGCCTGAAAGATTACTATGTTCTTCTACTTCTCTATCTAGACATTGGCATTTGATCAAATCATAGACAAGAATTGCTATCCATTTTGGTCTGGAGTGGTGTTTGTTTATTTGTTTGTTTGAGACAGAGTCTGGCACTGTCACCCAGGCTGGAGTACAGAGGCATGATCTT